CTTTTAAATAGCAGAGAATAACGTAAACTTCCAGAAAGCCACATCAATTTTAACAGTATCTGTACAAGTATAGTCTGAAATATAACAGTGGCCTGTTGTAATATCAAGATAAGGCAGCTGAGTTAGACTTGGTCATGTTTGGTCTTAGTCATGTTTGGAGTAGATCTATTTCAATAATTGGGAGGAGTTAGCATGACTACATTTAAGAAAACCTTCTGGCATTAATATACTGCCATAAGGTACATTTATCCAATTCTTTGCTATTTCTATGGGTCAGGCACACATGCACAGAAATACATAGTGCATATTGTCTGTGCTGTTTGCTGTTTGCTGCAAGGAGGCAATATGCTGGGAAGCAGAGGCAGATTATTTTCCCCTTGTTTTCCTCCCCCAAAGCTAGATACGTCTTATACTTTGGAGCATATTATACTCCGAAAAATACGATAGTTACTGGACAAATGTAATTAGACAAATGATAAAGCAGGTACATGTGTTCCAAATGAAACCTAGTTTCCTTCATAACTCTCAGTTGGAGACTGGGGAAGATGGTAAGTATTTAGAACATAGAATAATAAGTTTGTAAGGGACATTGGAGGTCTGCTCGTCTAACTCCATGCCCAAATCGGGAGTCCTTATACCATCCTGAACAAGTAGCTGTCTAATTTCTTCTAGAAAGCTTCCAGTGATGGAGCACCCACTACTTCTGGAGGCAAGCCGTTCCACTGATTAATTGTTCTTATTGTCAGGAAACATAGAACATAGAATAATAGAATTGGAGACCCTATATCATTTCAGACAAATAGTTGTCCAGCCTCTTTTTGAAAGCCTTCAGTGATGGAGCACCCACAACCTCTGAAGGCAAGCTCTTCCACTGGTGAACTGCTCTCAGTGTTAGGAAAATTCTAGGCTGCATCTCTCTTTAATGATCTTTCACCTACTACTTCTTGTCCTGCCCTCAGGTGCTTTGGAGATTTATGTCAGTGAGACAGACAGAAGGCAGATTGCAAAGAGTCACCTCCATAACCCAAGATACTAGCCACAAGAGCCGATCACAGTCTTTTTCTTAGCTTAGCTTAAGCCAGGATGGAAATGGCACAATAGTTTTTGTTAAACAACTCCTCCTCCTCCTCCTCCTCCTCCTC